GGGTCAATTGTGGATCGAAAAAAAAAACAGTTCTCAATACGCAAATCACACATACCTAATTAAGTATGTAAAATTTGTGAATTTTTTTTATAATTGACTCAATATCAGTTTCTTTATAAAACATAAATTAATAAACGTATATTTATTGGGGTGAAACAAGTATTTACGTACCACCGCGCAGTGGCACGAACTCAGCGCAGTTTATAAGTCATATGCATATGTGCGCTTGTCCAAATGTCACGTGTGACGAGCATTGACGTTACAAATGCAAATATCATACGCAGTTTCAGCTATCTTTGCAAACTGTGTTGAATATTTGCAGTGTCATTATTAAAACTTTTATAGTTTTGGATAATTAGTTATTGTTTCGATAAAACCATTCGTTTGGTTTAGATATCAATTTTAATTATCAATGCACAAAAAAGAAGGTAAGCATTAATAATATGGATTAGTACAGCCCGCGACAAAACTATAGCACACTTTGTATTTTTTTACGAAAATTACAAAATTGACTAATTTTGACGAAAATTAAAATTGACCAATTTTGAACCCAATATAGCGAACCTTGCAAAAAACACCAGGCACACCCATCTCATTGATCAAGAAGCAGTAAATCTTTAATTACTTTACTTATTATATCTACTTATGCATAATTACTTATTATTTAATAATAAGGTATTTAAATTTCAATATTAATATATTTTTCATGAAACTATTGTTACACAATGTACTATTACTTTAATAAATGTTTAAAATCATAAAGTAAATGTGCAAACACAGTATCTAATATTGTTTTATTTTAATTAACAGAAAATTACTTTTGCGGGGGTCGATGGAGATTTCGAAGAATTATATGGGGGTCGATGATCAAAAAAGTTTGGCGACCCCTGGGGTAGAACATAAAACACCTGACGTTAGTAAAAAATTACCTTTCCAACTGTCAAAAATTACAAATGAGGTAGATTTAAAATAACCTGAAATGTAAAACGGCTAACCATTGGTTGATAAATAAATACCTCAACAAGCATAAAATTAGATACTTAGATAGAGGTAGAACATAATACACCTCTCGTTAGAAAAAATCACCTTTCCAACTATAACAAGTAACACCTGCGGTAGGTTTAAAATACCCTGAAGTATAAAACGACACGACATGGGCTCATGAATAAGTACCTCTACAACCATAAAAATAGATATTTGAGGTTGAAAAATAATTACCTGAGGTCAGACATATTACACCTCACGTTAGTAAAAAATTACCTTCTCAACTGTCAAAAAATACACCTTAGGTAGATTTACAATAACCTGAAGTGTTGAATGAAACACCTTAGGATGTTCAATAAATACTTTCACAAGTGTAAAAAAATATACTTCAGGTTGTTAAGATAACCTAAGGTTGAAAACGAAACACCTTAAAGTAGTGAATATCTCCCTCTCCACAGATGTAAAATGAAACACCTTAGGTTGATACATATAGGTATAGGAGGTATATTTGAGGTTAATTTTGTGGTATTCATTTGCCTCTTTTTCGACCTAACGACGTATTTAAATAACAACCTCCTTTATACCTTTAGAAATACCTCATTTAAACCCCGATTTTTCCTTAATGAAATACAGGGAATTTTGAGTTTTTCCTTACAAACTGAGAATTTTTATTTCTTATTTTTGTCTTTGAATGTGGTAATCACTCAAAGCGCAATCTATGCGATATTTAGGGATGATATTTCAACTATACTAAACTATTTCATTTATTACAGCATTATTTGATTTAAGTATATTAAGCTGTTCTTTATTTTTTTAAGTTTCACCAGAAATTAAAAAAAAGTATAGCTAGACTAATATAGGTCATTCAAGAGTAAAATGATTGTGTGTTTCCTCTTAATATATTGTGTATAATATGTACAGGCAAAACACAGGAAATTTTTTCCCCAGATCTGTGTGGCAACCCTGTAATATTTGATTCTACATTTAAAAAGAATTTAGTTATTCTAATTAGAACTGCCTGAATTATTAAAATATATAAAACTAGATACCGGAAAATAATGTCGCGCCGTTGCTAAGCGATTTTGATCTCTAACCTTCCTTTTAATTTTTTATAATCGTCATTAAACAGCCATCTTGAGTTTGTGACTACCAATGTTCAACTTGTAATTTTAAACCCAATCTACCATACAAGGGAACTCCTGAATCAAGTAATGGGTGAAATTTAACCTCCAACCCATAACCCGTCTACCACTGAAGTTACTGTGGTCAGTGCGAGCCAGGTGCAGAATTCGTATCTACCAGTCAAACGTTGAGATTCAAACCCACGCCATATCATTGGGAGGTAAGCGTTCTATCACTTGAGGATTAAATTAAAAAAAAATTTTAAATACTTTGGTTTACTTTTTTCTTATGATTTTCTACGTTTTGAAAAAAAAAATGGCAGTGTGATAAAAGGAACAAAGTAGTAGCAAGAATTCAGTCAACTTGCAATATAATAACCCCTGAGTTAAAATGTACTTTATAACATGAGGTTTCTGAACAAATTCCAAGCAAGAAAAATATGATAGATTAATTCATTTAACCCTTTGTAAAGAAATTTACAAAAGCTANATATAATAACCCATGAGTTCTTAAATAGCATGTACTTTATAACATGAGGTTTCTGAACAAATTCCAAGCAAGAAAAATATGATAGATTAATTCATTTAACCCTTTGTAAAGAAATTTACAAAAGCTATGAATGTTTGCAGCGAACTCTTATTTTCACACGATTAGACAATACGCACTTCAAAATCTCAATAATGAAAAATCATTGACAATCATTTCGACATCTTTATAACTATAGATAACAAAGGGAATGCGACAGGACCACCTGAGGAAAGAGATGGTGGTCCTGTCACCTCTTTCTTTGTTCATAGAAACAGTTCAAGTTCATTGAGGGCTAACGACAAAAGAAAGAGGGGTTTAAATTACTTTCTCCAGATTTTTGCAATCCATTGATTCATTGATATGCGGGGGGAAAAGTTGAAAGCACAAAAGCCTTTAACAGCTCTTTTTGGTGTGATATTCTTGAATTTAAAAAGGAAATGAAAGGAAACTTAAATTCGTTTTCCATAATGGAATAAATGGCTCAGTTTCGCTTTGACATTAAAATAACAGTGTGTCAACTTAACAACAAACTGGTATCAGGTGTTATAATGGAGTGCTTTGTTCGCCAAGATGGAGTGTTTGCAGCAATAGATTGTAACTGGTCTCACAACAATATGAAAACACCCTGTAAAAGTGTTTCACTGTAGAAGGACAGAACGCGTCAGGAAACAAACATTTCCCAAAAAAACGGAAAACAGTAACGGTAAACCAAAGAGAAACCAACAAACTCGTGAACAGTATCTGTCACTAAGGATAGATAAAAACTGTTTATATATTTTAGAAATAGGGTTTTCAGAAAGCTTCATTCATGATACAACCTCTGCTGAACCTCTTAAAAAATAAATTATCTCATAGCGACTACTTTTCATTTTCTTCAAAATCTTCTAATTACTCAAATCTCCCTCATAAATAAATATATTTTTATTTATTATTTAATATTACAAAATAAATATAAAATAATATTAATAAATAAATAATAATAAATAAATACTTGCTCACATAGCTTTTACAATTAGTATTTTTTTTTAATCATTTCCAAAGTTGAAATTTGAATTTTTTTTCGAAATTATTCAAATTTTCGCATTAAAAATAGAAAAAATAAAATACAAAATATAATTATTTTCATTTAAAATTAACAAAAATACATGAATAATAATAAAGATTATAAATGATTACAAATGAATAATTAAAAAATAAAAACCTTTTCACATATCTCTTAGAACTAATTAGTAATTCCTTTTATAAATTAATTCTAAGAGACATGTAAGGAAATTTAATATTATTTATTTCACAAATCTCCAAATAAGAAATTGAAAAAAAATACGGAATTTAAAAATAAATAATTTTAATTATAATAATAACGAGATTATTATTCATTATTATTTAAGAATAATTTTAATTAATAAACTTTTTTTTTACAATCCAAAATTAAAGAAAAATAAATCTAATTAATGAACGTAAAATAAATAAAAACTTATTCACATATCTCTTAAAATTTATCAGTATTTCTATTTGCCATTTCCGGTTATAATTTCCGTTTCTCAGAAATCTGCTAATTGCTGAAAGCTCCACAATATAAGTGAAAAATATTAAATAAAATATATAAAACTTTTTTCGTATATGATATAAAATTCGTTATTCCATTTTTAAGATTAGTATTAGTTTTTGAATTGATTATTTATTGAATTGATATTGTCTAGAACTAGATGTATGCGTTTTGATAATCATTAGCTTTTAAAAAATTACGAATTTCGCTTATTTGCATGCGTATAAGTTATAAAATCTTTTTGAATCAACCGCTAAATTTTGAAAAATGCTTTTCTCCCTTCTTTTGGATATAACGGTTACAATTTAAAAGTGTCAGACTATAGCTTAAAATTCACAATCAAGTTAATTAAAATACATCTATTCATTTATTTAATTACTTTTTTTTTCTTACATTTGAGTATGATGTGCTGTAACAAAAGAAAACGTATTTCTCGATTCTGATCTAATACTAACTTATAATAAAAGAAGAAAAAAAAATTATTATTTTAATTTTGATTACATTATTAAATAAAAACAAGTTTGCATTTAATTATTTATCAACCAGTAAAATAATAATAATATTTTCGCAAGTTTCTAATTAAATATGAAAGGGACGATTTATTTTTATTTTTTTCAATCAAGTATTCGTAAAAAAGTACAAGAAAAATATATGCTTAGGCTACTTAAAATATCTTTTAAGAAGTAATATTTTGTTGCAAACAATGTGTTTATATATATATATGTACACAGATTCTTTATAATAAAATGTTACTTTTTATAACGAAGGTAAATTTTTATTGAATCCTGTGAGTAATTGTATTTAACTTCTAAGGAAATAACATTGGTGACATAGTTGTTTTCTTTGTATCTTTTTTTTAAATAATAATAATAATAAGGATCTACCATAGCATCACTTTTCAGTTTGACCACCTTGCGAACTAAGCTGCAATACCCCATACATAATGCCTATGTGAAATATTAACTAACTGTCATAAATTTGCATTCATAGTTATGAAAGTCAAGAAAGTGGGGGGGGGGGGGAGAATTAACAACCAATTCAGAATCTTATCTGAACTTGTTGCCATTGTCCCTTACAATGGGGGGATAGCCCCTTCCCACCCCACCTGCTAACTAAACTTTATCACCACTAACCAATGAGATTGCTTTTTAACTCATTGCAACATATAAGAGTTTCATAAGGAGTATATTCTGAGTGTGCATCTATAATACAGCATCTCTGTACATTCAGTCTCGTTCTTAAAAACGTAGTTCTTACTCTTCAGTTTTGGCAGTTTTAGTTTTGTTTTTAATTAAATAACCGAGAGTATTTAAATGGAAATGTCTGATCGGTGGTATTTTAGTGTAGATCAGTTAACATCTACGCCAAGTAGGAAACACGGAGTGTCCATCGAGAAAGAAATGAAGTATCGCCAACATGCTGCAGCCTTCATCCAGTCCATGGGAAATCGCTTGCTACTGTATCCTTTTTTTCAATTTCAAATCTTTAAACTGGTGTTAATTATATTGTATTTTGTGCGAAGCGGTATAACAGTTAACTAGTTCCTAAGTTTGCACGTTTCTTATGTTTTCTCAATACTATTAATATGATTATATTTACATATTAAATATTTCTAGTTTAGAAAAATACTTCGGGAAAACTGCTACTAAATAAATAAAAATTATGCATATAGTTTAAACGTTTTTAATAAATTAATGATAATAGCAGTGTAAAAATTATTGTTATGATAAATGTGTGATACTAATATTTATAAATATGGTATACTAATAGAATAGTTAATTTTTTTTAATAGATTCTTTTTAATATCAAAATCCAGCACGTGTTTGCTATACATATGCCTGTTTTGTTTACATTTATGCATTATTTTTTTTTTAAATATATTATTTTTAGAACCACCAAAAGCCATAACATTAAAATTTAGGAGTTTAATTCTTTTTTGTAGTTTGAAATGCATGCGAGACGAAATATATGCTTTAATGTTTTATGAGTGGATTTTTACTCTTGTTAAATTATATGGCAGTAATATACATCGGTACAGAGCAATAACTTTATTTTCAGAGTTTAATTAATATTGTCTTTAATTTGTTTTAAATAAATTTCTCTTTCTTTTAAAAATTTCTCTGATATGTAAGGGCTAGTTTTTCGTTTAGTTTTATTTTGTATTAAGTATTTATACACGAGAGAAAGTGAGTTATTTCTTTAACTTTGTATTAGAGATCAATTGTGCATTAGTACTGCTATCGTTTTCATGCATAGATTCTACATGATCCATTCTTTTGTGGAGGTTCCGATGTTAGTAAGTGAAAATTTGTTATTTTATTATCTATTTTTTAAATATATTTTTTTTCTATTTAGTATCAAACCTTAAATAACATGTACAAAACTTTAATCTTCAGTTAAAGTTTTTATTTATACTTAAATCAATTTTAATGTAAAAATGCTATATTCCCTTACTAGTTTTGAACTACAGAACTTTGCGTTTTAACTCAGCTTTTTCAGATTTACATTATTTTTTTTAGGTATACGACTGGTTTCGATGCATTTCTCTTCTTTTCTTTTTTTTAAAAAAAAAGCTTCATTAAAGCGTTAATTTTATATTTTGTAAGATGGGGACCCTAAAATTATATGCTTAATTTTTCTCCATACTTAAGTATTTTTTTAATCCAACTTTACCTGTGTTCTTTTTTATTAATTTGAGTTTAAAAAAACAAATTCAGCTCTACAAATGTACAAAGACAAATAAGACAAGATATACAAACGCAAATGTATTAAATGTACAGCTATACAAAGACAGATGTATAAAATTTACCGTATTAGCATAGTGAGAGTTTTGAATCTCTTAATACAATATGAAAAAATTTGTAAGTGCTTCAATATAATACTGTTGCAAAATCAAACAGAAAAACCTTTACATTTCTAAAACTTTTACCATTGATACATTGGAGTACAGCAATTTTTGAGTTCTTAATATCTTAAAAGTTAGTGCAAAAAATTACTATTAATGCTAAAAATCATTGCAAACTTATAAATTTAAATTTGAAATATGGTTATTTAATTTTATTTGATGCTATACGAAGGGAAATCCGAATTTTTAAAGGTTTACTATTTAATTTAAATAATGGGTTTTAAACATAATTCGTTTTTAAGAAGACAGGTAAAAACTCATTGAATATGAATCGAAATTGAGTAAAGTGAAGATCAGATAATATGAATACTAAGTATTTTTGTATACATCAAAAACATTAAATTAATTTATATATTTTGAAATTTATAATTCCGAAGCTTTCTACGAATAACGAAATCACAGACATATTCATACGAAAAGAATATTCTACTTATTTTGACGAAATTATTATGTCTGTAAAACAATGGACTTTTACGCTTTTTAATTTAAATAGGATGCAGAAAGCATGTTTTTTTTATATTTCGTAAAGCTTATTTTCATTAATGTGTTTTATGATGAGAAAGAAAATTTCAAATCTTGTGAAAAACTATTTTGTTTATTTTTTTCCCCATTTCTTAATCTCATTCTAACCATGTTCTTACAGTTTTTTTTCCCCTTCATTTTTTAATCACATTCTAACCATATTCTCGCTCTCTTTTTGCAGAGACTGTCCGCGGCTGCCGTATTTCTAGCATCTAAAGCAGAAAGTCAGCAAAGGAGACTGGAGCACGTGGTTAAGTTGTCCCATTGTTTAATTAATGGACATACGGCAACGTTAGATGTTCGCTCCACAGTAAGTACGATTGACTTACATTTTAATAATTGTTGTTTTTACTTTAGAATAATAGTATTAGAGTTAACTTAATCTTCATTAATCAGCAGTTTTTTTAAAGTTTGCTTCATTATTTGGGATTTTTTTTAAATCCAGCTGAAACTGTATTCTTGTTTATTGATTTATGATTGTACTTGTTTGTTTAATGTTTGACGATTTTATACTATCTAAATGCGTATGGTTAAGCAACTTTATTATTTTAACTTTGAATATATGGTTTTACATTATAGGAGGTGTATCCAAGGTTTTTTCTTCTTTTTTTTTTCCAAACATTTCTCTTTTCGTTTACTCCCTTTTTTCCGATTGCAGTGAAAATCTAAAAAAGTTAACTTTAATGGGGTTTTAATGGCCTAAATTCTAATTATTCTAAGTTTAATGTAAAATAATCATTTTCAGATTTATTTATATGAAGAATTTAGCGTATTTTTCTTATTTCAAGGTTTTCTTTTTATAAACTCTAGTAGTTATTGATGAAATTACTTTTACCCTTAATTTTTTTTAATAAAGGTTTACAAATTCTCCGTAATATTTCAGTAATATAGCGAATACAATTATTTAAATTTATATATATTTATGAATTGATGAACAATTTAAACTGAACGGTTACCTTTGTATGCTTAATTTATATGTTTTAATTTATTTTTTTTTATTCGTTATCTATTTATTTATTTTTAGGGAACAGTCTATATTTGGTTACAGTACCAAAATTAAATAACTTTGATGTAACTGTTTTGAAATAATAATAGTTTACAATAATATTTTATTTTATTTTGTGAGTTATACATATATATATATATATATAAGAATTGAATTTCAATAGTTGTTTTCTAAGTTTCTAATGATTTTTTTTCTCCATCCAGGCTTATCAGAAAAAGGAGCATGAATTAATTGCACTTGAACAAGCTTTGCTTTTGACTTTAGGTAATTTTAGCATAATTTATTTTTCTATTTCTAATTATTTATATGGCAGATTTAAATGTTTTGGTAAAGAGTAAAGCCGTAATCCAACTCCAGGACATTCTAAATTTTACAAGCAACAATTAAATTTCTTGCACGCGTGGGCACTCGTTTTTTTCCGTCACAGTTTTTACATCAACAGGCCGAAAACCTGAATTTACGGAATGAATTTGCAACACTATCTTCATAAATACGAATTTGTCTGCTACTTAACGCAGGCAGATTGTTATTGTAAAAGTCCTAGTCCTTTAAATTTTATCCTTGAAAAAATTATGAATAAATTTAAATTAATGTTTTATCAATTTCATACGAATATTCTAAAAAATGGAATAAATTAAACTGTAATCAAGCAAAAGAATTTTTTTTTTTAATTTCTGTTCTTTGTGGCGTTCTATCAGTGACGACGTTCTGTTTTGTTTGACAGGAAAACGGATTTTAAAAAGAGAAGAAAAAGGACTATCTTTTGAAAAACAATAAAGGCCCATGTCGAACTTAAATATTCCCATCGCTTTATTGAGAGTTTATTTATTTGTATTTCGCTCAGTGTTTATTGATTGTTTATAATTTTGAATAGTTTTGTTTGTCTACAATATAGTATCAGATAAAATTGAGTTACTTTTTTTTCTTCCAGGATTTGATTTGAACGTTGACCATCTTCATCCCTATGTGGAACGGATTTGCAAAATGGTTAATGGTGAGTATTTTATTGCATTAATAAAGCTTTAACTTTAGTTTTGATTCTGGAGCGTTCTTAATAAATTTAACTGATTTAACGTGAATTGTCAAAAATGAAGAGTAATTCTTTTTTCTGTTTATAAATACAGGCGAAATCAGTTTAACTAGTTTTGTCTTATGATATACTAAATTGAATTTTCTTGCAAATTCTTCAAGTTTATAGCTTTCAGAGCTAAAGTTTAATTTTGTGTTTATTTTTTTTACTGTGTTTTTTTACACACTAAATTAAAGAAATTTGATAAAAGCCAAAAATTCGAAGAATCTTTGAATTTAAGAAAAACTTCTTTTGTAATGTTTTAACCTATATTTTTACTATTATTTGGAGGGCAAAAAATTTAAATAATTTTTATGATTGTATGAAATTTTGCTCAAATTTATTAAAAAATTCTTTTTTAACGTTTTTTAAACAATTTACATTAGTAAAATGTGCCTTTGGGGTTAGTAAAATTGTAATTTTATCTTGCTTTAAAAAGATTATTTTATTTTAATTTTTTTTTTTCTATTTACAGCCGGAAAAGATCTTACTCGAGTGTCAAACCTCATCGCTACAAACAGGTATGATATTTTATATTTCCCATGTATTTTAATCATACCTTATTTTTTTCTGTTTAACCTGATTTATAGAAATTTTGTTTCTATTGAGTTGGCAACTAAGGTCCCGTCTCTTTTTTCTCGAATGTTATTAAAAGTTTACTGTGAGAAAGAGCATTTCAATTTCTTCCCTTGTCGTTCGGCGTGAATTTCCGTCTAAAAGTTTAATCCACTCAATTTTCAACGAAATGTTCAGAACGAGGTACGTCTTTCAGTTCAAAGTTGACATTTTTAAATTTTCCATACGACTTCTTCAGCTACGGCATTCTCTCCATGCACAGCACATATATTACGAGCAGCTGGTGCCGTCTCAGAACTTTGTTTAAAGACAAAAGAAAGAAAGAAAAAGGGTCGAAAATACTAGTTTGTCAGAACTTGGATGTTCCATTTCAATATTTTGAAAATAATCACAAATTAACTCGAAAAAAAAAATTATTTCGATAGAACAAATTCTCTTTTGAAGGAACTAAAACATGCAACATACGCATGCAGAAAGCAAAAAATTTTAAAATAAATGGTGGGAACTTGTTGCCAATCACATAATTTATAAATTTTATTTTTAGAAACTACTATTTACTAATCTCTTATCTTTACTATTTACTAATATTTTATCTTTTTAATTTAGCTTGCATCTGACCAATATGTGCCTCAAGTACAAGCCTAGAGTAGTTGCTTGCTTTTGTTTTCATTTGGCCTGCAAGTGGACTAATTGGGAGGTAAGATTTAAACGAGATGTTATTGACATTGATTCTAATTTATAATTTGATTTAATTATTTTCAGGAATTAATTCTTTATTGTATGAAAACAATGTATGCTTTAATTTTAAAAAAATTAATGGTTTTTTTAAAAAAAAAATTAATACAAGCAGGAATTAATTTTTTTAGAGGTTTGTTTTTTTATATTAATCACAGTTTCTTAAGCCAGTACCTTTCTTTTCAAATTTTTATTTCAAAAAAATATTTCTTTTAATTTTCATAACACTGTGTAATGGAGATTGAAATATATTAAGATAGTAAATGTTGGCTGTTTTCAATAATGTAGTAATTTTTTACTCTTTTAATTTATCCTTTTTTTGTATAAAATAATTTTCTTTTACAATAATTATTAATTTTTATTTAGCATTTTAAAATAGTAAATTTTTTTGTGCGACTTTACATTTTTTTTTAAATTTAAATTCTCCTTATCAAGAATTTTCAACTTTAATTTAAAACTGTATAAGAATATTTTACTTAGCACTCCGATATGTTATTATCGTTAAAAAGGGTGCTTCAATTTTTTAAGTCCAAGATTCCGTCTCTTTAAGATGGTTTTAGAAGAATACATGAAATTTATTGCAGAAAAGTGCATTGAATTACTCAAACTTGACAGTTCTTAGAAACAGTTGGAATACATAAAACTTTTAAAGCATACTGTGTACGTTTATTGTAAATTAAAAATTTATATCCAATAGCATTTACTAATATATTTAATTTCAGATATATTTTTTGAATGAAAAAAAAAGTTTTAGAGGAGAAATAATAGTTCAGTTTCAATTGAAACATCAAAACTCATATTTTTTCTGATTGTTTTCGTGTAACACGATTTCATGATGAATTGCATGAACTCAAATAATATCTCTGAACATTTGTACTTCACGTTCAGAACACTTATGTGTAATTAGAAAATATTTCATTTGCTTTTTAGCTAAATTTCAAAATTGATTTCTAATTAATAAAATTAACAATTTAGTTTAATCTCAGCTAGCGTAGATTACTCCCAATTTTCTTTACTGTTAAAAGTAGTTCCGATAAAACTATTCTATTTAGTTTTGAATATTTAAGTACTGAAAGATTAAAACTCTTGCTAAATTTAATCCAATAATGTGTGTGTATATATAACACAATAAAAAGATATAAAAAAAAAGAACACAGATAAGTGAGAACACAGATTTTTTCTACAAAAATTAAGAAAAAATAATAAGTCTTATTTCCTGTGCATAAGCTGCAAGTACATAGAACCTATGAAATAAGTTAAAAATACAAAGAAAGCAAGAAAAATGTATTTTTAAAGAAAGAAAAATAATTGCTAAATAAATTATTTAAAAAATTTTTTTTTTAAAATTAAGACTCTAAAATACAAAATAAGGAAAAGATAAGATCTCATTCTCATCTTACAGCATTATATCTTTTTCTTTTTTTTTCTCCGACTTCTTAATTTTTTTAAAATTCTCAAAACTTTTTTAAGCAATTTATTTAGCAATAATTTTTCTTCTATCTTTCTCTCTATACACATAATGTTTAAAAATATGTATGGTATATTAAATTGCATTTCATTCTCTGCTTTAATTTTACAGATTGAACCTTGTTCAAAAGGAAAGGACTGGTTTCTTTATATTGATCCGAGTGTGTCTTATAAAACTTTGGAAGGTACGCATCTTTTCTTTTTTTTTTCTCATTACTTTTATTGATAACGTTTTTATTCCAATAAATTACAGGGAGGGATTTTGTGTAGCGTAACTTTTTAAGAATTAAAATTTCCGAATCTTATTTTGAGTCTTTATATTTTATTAATTCGTCTATTAGAGAAAATTTATAATGTAAAAATATTTCAACTCGTTCTCTTCCAACTTGATCTCTTCCATCTGCAGTCGAAACTGTTCTTGCATAATAGTTTTTCTTTCTTTCTTTTTCTAAGAAAATGTAATGTTTTTATGAAATAAGTGAACCGGTTTAGTGTTTTTAACTCTTGATAATTCCATTTAAAGTGTGAAAAAAACACGTAATAAAGATATATTTTTATATAATATGCTTTCAACAACAGATATTGTTGTGTTAAAAATGGTTATACTTTTTGTCTAGCAAACAATAAATTTGTTCCATTTTTATTAAGTTTAATTTGTCACTACATTTTAATTACAGTTTATAAGGGTCTTTTAATTTTATAGGAATCTCAGCTCTCAAACTCTCTTAATTGCTTCTCCTTCGTCATTCTTTTTTCCCCTTTTAAACATCAATATCTTCCACAAAAACACAGAATATTTAGTTTTCAAAGCATACCATATACATAACATTATTGTAGCTTAATGTGAGAACATTTTATGAGCTTGTTAAAAATGGCAAAATGGACGATTACTTCGATTTAAAAAATAAGCGTCTGAACTTGGAAGAAAAAAAAAACTTTAACTTGAAGTTTACAGATTGCGTGACTCAATAATATTGAATAAATGAGAATTAACTGTAACATTATATAATAACAATTCAAATAGGGAACGGTTTTCATTGCTCGTTATTAAGTTTTTTAACTTTGAAAAATTTCTTTATAAAAGTTAAGATTTATATCTGGCAACACGCACATAATCTCTCGCTCTTGTTTTTTTTTCTTCTTTTTTTTCCAGCTACTTTGATTGAAATTAACTTAGAGCTTATAAAATAAAGAAATAAAAATCTCATAAGGGAAAAATAAATATTCTACAACAATTGATGTCACAACTAAAAGCCAAAAGTTAGAAAAAAAATTCTTAAACTAACTAATTGTAATTTCGAAACAAAATTTAGTTAAAATCACACATAAAAATGCTCTTCCAGCTCGTCAAATTTAAACTCTGTAGTTGCATTTCAGCGGGCTACTGATCAACCGCGTGTTTTCTTTGTTGTTTTTTTGCGCAACAAAACAAAATATAACGTTAAATTGAATGCCCAATAAATCAGTTTTTAATATTTTGCTACTCAGAAAATTGAAGATCCATTTTTTTTTAATTTTTAAAACTTCTAAAAAAGGAAAATCCGGAATACATGATGATGAATTAGGAGTCATGTCCAAAAATACGTAAGAGTCAGACATTCTGAAATTTCAAGAAATCAGTATTTAATGAATGTGTTCAAGAATATCAAACTGTTTGATATACTCTTTGTAATGATTTTCTCAATCGATTAAGTTTTATAGATATTTCAATGGTTTTTATTTTTTCCACAGGTCTTATTCATGAATTCCTCGATGTCGTCGAAATTAGTCCTCACAAATTAAAGCAGCGATTTGTTCAAAAGGTAAATTTGCTTCTTATTTATAAGAACAATGCTACGTTATTTTAAAATTTTTAAATTTCCTTGTAGGCTTGTGTAATAGGTTTTCTCACAGAGTGATATTTATGTTATCAATATTTTATTTATAAGGCTTTGCTATTTTACTAAACTTGCATTTTTTTATGCTAAATGTAAATTATTCTATTATATTATGAAAGGAAATAGAATCTTCGTAACTTCAAAGTTTAAAGGAAACAAATTTTTTAATTGTATTCTAACTGTCTACGCAAAAACTGTAATTTCTATATTGGATATTCAACACAATATTATAATCATTTAAATAACTTCAACATAATAATTTAAATATAATATAAAATAATTTTTCAAGCTATAATAAATCAAGCTTAGTTATTACTCTCTCTCTGTCTGTCTTTTAAGTTGCTTTTGACATAAACTAAAGCACGAAAATAAGCGCCTATAAAATAAAGATCTTGAGAGTGGGATAAATAAATTTTCTGTCAACAATAAATAAATAGTCATAAAGCAAAAAAAGTAATAAAATTTCAGAAGAAAGCACTTGCATTTGCAACAACTTTTGAATAAATTCGTACTGCAAAAGAATCTATGTCCATGAACAAAAAATCCAATTCAAATATTTGAAAAATGGTTAATATATATATTTTTTTAATTTGTATTCGTTCTATTATTTTATTTTTTTTAAAGTGCTGAAACCACTGTTTGAAAATATTCCTCAACTTTGCACATTTTCAGACATAATACTATACAAAACTTATGTAAACCAACTACATTTTCATACTTGAGATGCTTAATGTATTTTTTTCCCCTGATTTTCGTATAAAAATTTTAAAAACTATTTACATATCAATTTTAAGCATACGCTTTTTTTTATTATTATAATCTAAGTATAGTTTAAATAAATTTTACATATGAATTTTGACAATGACTGGTAATTTTTTAGGAACCCCATATATTCCAAATTTAACGTACTTACAAGAGATTTAAACTGAAATTACATATCTAGGAATTTACTTTTAAAACACCAAAACTTAGTCTAGTTTTTATTTTTTCATTTAATGACACATTTATATGCAATCTATCTTTTACTAAATATTACATTCTTTTCTCTGTGATAATTTAAACCCTTTGTGCTTTTTCAAATATTTATATGCTTATGTTTTATCTTAGGTTCACAGAATGCCTGAAATAAAAATTGAGGAATCTTCCAAAATCAAAGTAGAACCTGATGTTTCGATTAAGACTGAATGTAAACAGAATGGTGCCTCATTATTCGGAAAGGTGAAAGCTGAAACGGCATTGGAAACAAAATCCATTTCAACTGTCCAATCGGAAACAAGTCCTCTCAAATTAAACCAGCATTTCATTCAAAAGGTAAATTTGCTTTCTATTTATAAGTACAATTCTTTGTTATTTTATTAGATTTGAATTTTTTCTTAAATTATGCTAACGTAAAGGATTTTACTGCAGGATATTATGGAAGGAAATAGTCTTTGTAACTTCCAAGTTTAAAGGGAACAAATTTTTTAACCATATTCAAACCAGCTACTCAAAAATTATAATCCATTTACCGGATAAACAAAGCAATATTATAATTTACTTAAATATTATTTAAAATAATTTTTCAAGCGAAAAAAAATTACACACTTAAAATTGAAAATTTTGCTATTAGATTCAGTCGAATTTACATTTTATTCACATTTCGAGTAAAAAAGTGAAACAATATTGTTACTTATTTATTACTCTCTCTCTGTCTGTCCTTTTAAGTTGCTTTCGACATAAACTAAAGCAAGAAAATAAACGCTTGTAAAATGAAGATCTTGAGAGAGAGAGACATAAATTTTCTGTCAAAAACACTAAAATAGTCATTAGTTGAGCAAAAAAAGAAATGAAAATTCAGAAAAAAGCACGAATTTCAACAGCTATTGAATTAATTTGTACTTCAAAAAAAATCATTTTACGTGCAAAAAGAAAAAGATTTAAAAACTTAAAAATGATTGATATTTTTTTTATAAAAATTATTAGTTCTATTTTTTATCTACTCCAAATTTAACGTACCATTATTACAGGAGATTTAGGCTATAAAATAATGTCCAAGGATTTAATTTTTCCTTTTAAAATACCAAACTTCGCCTAGTTTTTTCCTTTTTCATTCAATGACGCATTTATAAACAAACTTTTATTAAATTTTTCACTCTGTTCTTTGAATTAATTTGAACCATTTTTGCTTTTTTCTCAACCATTTATATATTTTATTTTAGGTTAACCAAATGCCTGAAATTAAAATTGAGAAACCTCCCAAAATCAAAGTAGAACCTGGTGTTTCGATTAAGACTGAATTCAAAAAGAATGGTGCCTCATTATTAGGAGAGATGAAATCTGAAATGCCATCACCAACAGAATCTATTTCGACAGATTCTAAAATATCGGTGAAGATTGAAACTAAACATTCTATATCTTTGAAAACATACATCGAAAGAAGAAAGAAAGAAAATGAGCTGAACAAAGCGCCTTTTTCACCATATGTTCGTAATGGCACTGTGATCAAGTCAGAAAATCTAAAAGATCGCCCTATGGAACTGCCGTTACCTCCATGGCATAGAAATTTAAAAAAACACATTGCTGTGAATAGTCTAAAAGTGCCAAAGAAAGAAGTTGCAAAGGATATTTTCCACTCTAAAATCGCCACCACAGCTGTTAAGCGGTTAAGCTCTGATGACAGCGATAAGCCTTTCACTAAACTCCCAAAACTAGATCATTCAGCGATGATCTAACAGCTATTATATGCGTGCTTGTCAAAGTGCCTTCTACACAGAATTAAAAACAGAATCTGTCATTGTACGTAAATGTAAAAACATTTTAAATTTGTCTGTTGACCTATAGAGATATTCCCTTGGTTTGATTGTCTAATCAATATGAATGTGATATTTATCATCTGAAAGCTTTTTTTAGTGCTTCTGTAATTGTAATTCTTAGTTCTAGTCAAAGTGCCTTCTACACAGGATTCAACGTCTGCCCTTTGTTATTTAAAACAGAATCTATCATTGTACGTAAATGTAAAAACATTTTAAATGTTTCTATTGACCTATAGGGATATTCCCTTGGTTTGATTGTCTAGTCGATATGAATGTGATATTTTATTTTTTATTCCTTTATATATGTTTTTTTTTTTTTATATTTCATATTTTGTATGAGATATGTGCATGCGCTAATTTTGTGATTGGTATTAGATTTTCATTATTGTTTTAGATTTTAATGAATTCTCCAGTAGAATTGTATGATTTACTACAGCAGAAAAAAAGTAAAAATAATTTTTTTTATTTTTATAAAGTTGAATGTAAAAAAATATATTTTTCTTTTTAAATCAGTTAGGTTTTTCCAACGTACCTTGGGACTTATTAAGTCTTTATAAAACTAAAAGATGGTAAAAATTTCAATTTAAACACCTTTACACTTTTCTAAAACCATATTTCAAATCATGTTTTAACGCAAGATTAAATTAAAATTAATGAAGAAAGCAATGTGTAATATTTTTCCGGTGGAAACTAATTTATGGTGTCTATACTGATGAATCAATTTGTATCACTCATTTTTATCAATAAATTTAATTACAGTTTGAAAACACTTGTTTCAGTTGATGAAAGGAATGTGCCTTTGTATGATTTTCTAGATAAAGTGAATTCTGTATTAAAATATTTTTTTATAGTGCACATTATCATGCATTATCAATACTATCCAATTATTGTACTTATAGCCATTCCACTAGTATTGATTATTATTCCTTAATTTTGAAAAGAATAATGAATATATAAATCAAAAATTTTATTTCATTTGATGGAATGCGATTTCCTAAGGGAAATTAATTCTTTGCACAAAAGCATCCCAGTTTATAGAAATGATTTAAAATACCTAACTTTGAACAATAAAATGCGTGTTATTGACGAATGATTTATCTTAATCTAATTAAATTCTGTAAATAAGTATAATGTTGTTGTCTATTGTTTATCTTATAAAAACTTTATATTTCTAATAAATTGTTTTATTTACTTTTTACTTAGTACTCGTTTATTTCTATTGACATTATAACATTATTTTTAACATTTGGCTATTGTCTAATACACTTAAAAAATAGAAACTCATGTAAAATAGGAATTTTCTCTTAAAAATCTTGAATTCAGGACTAAAAGCATATGGAAGCATTTCGTTATTATATCTAATAATCTGTTTTTTTTTTTTTTTAATTTTATTTTGACCTATATATATTTTTATAAAGCATAACATATTTTTATTCTGAGTGCCCTTCAAAAATCTTGTCAAATTTTGATTTTGAAATTAATATTTGCTTTTTATTTATTTTTATATATATTTCACACTATTTATAAATATTAATTTTTGATTACCTCGTACACTCTAAAGAAAATTCAGTTTTATTTTATTTTGTGTTTAGTTTCAACAGTGTCATAAATTGTTACATGATTTTCTTTGTAAACATGCAAAAATTTGAGGACAAATAAATGAAGTAAATAAAACATACTGAAAGTATAGGTTGAAATTCTGAGAAATTGCCTCCATTGTATGCACTTAAAATTTTTCTACACTTAATCAGGTTTAGAAGTTTAGTGTATTATTTTCTTAAGACATAGATTTACTTAGAAACTTTTTTTTTTCAATATTCAGAAAGCAGCAATTCATTGTCATGCATATTTATGCTTTTCGATGATCTCATGTTGTTAGGAATACATTTGAAGCAAGAAAATTAATATTAGATAAAGTAGTCGATATATTTGACCAAAGATACCCTAAAAGTCGAATTAAATTACATTAGGAAATCATAAATATTATGCATTATAAATCTTAACTATACACAATTATTTTCATTAAAATTACAGGTTATAGTTCTTCCTACAAAAATAACTTCTAGAGGTTTTTTGGTCTTAGCGATGAAACTTTTAAAATTATAAATTTATTTATTAGATATTTAATTTTTTATGGAAAGATAAGAAAGACATTTATCTTTTGTCACTTCTAAATAGCTTCATCTTGCAAATAAATTTGTCATCATTTTAACATCTTTTTTTAGCTCTTGTTGACTTGAATGATTCACCTGATAAAAAATTTTTTACCCAATCTTAAATAATTTTTTTTAAGAAGTTATTTATCGATCTGGTATTGTTTAACAATATTCTTGAGTTTCTTAACAAGTGAAATTGAAGCGTAAAGGAGAAAACTATTATGTTTAAGTTAATCAAATTATAGTTTTGTTTTAATATAGATGATGATTTATTTAATTTCTAAAATACTAGAGTTCTAAAACATTTAATGTTTAAATTAAAATAAAATTGAACTACCTAGTTATTAGTTAATTATACAAATTTTAAAAAAAATATCTCTCTTACAAAAATAGCTAAACTGGTTTTAATTTGCTCTTCGAATATCTTTGGAATTTTTTCTAGTTGTGCATAAATTTTTTATTGTGTAAATAGAATAATATTTAATTAAGAACACTGTAGAATCTTATGCTGGATGTGCATTTACTTTTTACTTACTCAGATATCACCTTTATATTTTTTTCTTTGTTAATATTTGAATCATGATAAATCCTTTATCAGACCAAAATTGTCTATATCATATTATTATTATTCGTATATTAAAAAGTATTGTGTATTTTCAAAATTATCTTAGCCACCCTGTCGGGCTAAGTCTAGCGCCACTCTTGACTAGTAACTAGTAGAATGCCATTTATCTGAAAAAGAAAATTAGTTCCATCCAGTTAATTTAAATCATGAAAGAAAACAAAAACAATTTCTAATATTTTAAAACCAGTCGCTATTATTGTAAGTATCTTACTAATTCATATTCTTTTTTCTTCTTTTTTTTTAAGTTTCAATACTTCCAAGTTCCAACAGAGAAAAAGAATCAATATTTAAAATACTTTTGTTGGATTGTAAAAAAAAAATGAAATTTTAGTTTTAAATAAAAGTATTTTGAATTTCAGCTGTCTAATTATTTGAATTTGAGCTTGAAAAATTCAAGCACCTTAGACATCTATCTTATAAAAAAGTAAGTTCCCACAAATAATTTTTTTTTTGACTTAAGAATTCGGATAAGTGTTATATCAAGATGATTTAATTGAATTTATTAAAATTACAGAAGAAATATATATTTGAAACTTTCTTTTACAGTTTAGCAAAAGAAGCAATTACAGCCGAAGGTGTAATTTTAAAAACTTCATGTTGATAAATGAAGATCTGTACTAGTGAAAAAATGTAAAGATATGCATTATTCTTTATATAATAGTGAGGTTAAAAATTAATAAATTAGGTGGACCGTATAACACCTCACGTTTGTGAATTATTACCTTCGTTATGTATAAA